ACCGACCCCTTATCCGTTCCATCATGCATACCTCTTCTCCTATCCTCCTCTTTCCACCACCACCCTCTTTATTTCCTGTTCGTCCACTCATCTTGCTTGCTTTATCGTTCTCCATCCTCGCCCTCAAATGCTTCATCTTGCTCCTCTTGGTAATCAAAATAGAAAAAAACTTCAATCATGCCAATGTCATCCTCATGCTCGTCGATGTACATACTCCTTTTCTGTCTCTTCTCATCTCCACAAATACTTCTTTTCACACCCTCTTATCCGCACATATCGTTCTTTTTATTTCCCTCCCTCTCATTTTTCTAGCCTGTTGGAAGTTGTTCCTCATTCTGGAAACACACCCTCCTCCCGCTAATGTCTCTCTTTCTCTTTTTTTTTTTTTTTTTTTTTTTTTTCACTAGTACCCACCTCAGCTATCCTCCTCCCCGCACCGCCAGTTAAACATTGGGCCATGCCAAGGTTCGGCTCTCCATACCAAAATGGCTGCACGTGCATGATGAGGTGGGCAAAAAAGTGCGGCAGGAAAAAGAGGCCTGAAGCTACTGGTGCTTTCTGTTCATTTTCGCTCATTCATTGCAATTGAAATTGTCAGGTCGTTTCTCCTCTGTATGATTAAATTCTACTCTCAACTCTCTCCAACCTCACCCCAGCCTTCCTGCAAGTTGCTTCTACCTCCTTACATTCTTTTTCTTCTTCTCCTTCTTCTTCTTTTTTTTTCTTCTTTTTTTCGTTTTTTTTTTGTTTTTTACCCTTACGTTCAATTATACTTCTTAGGACTTCATACACTAAGGAGATGTTCACGTTTATCTTGATCATCATCTTCCTCCGCCTTCCCATCTCCTCCTTCACCCTCCTCATGAGCTTCTTCGTCCTTCTCCTCTCGTGAATTTATATTGCTCGTGCGCTCCGAGAAGGGATGGGTGATTCTGGCAGGTCCATGGGATGATGGAGTCCCGGCTTTGTAAGACAAATAACCACAGCCCCAGGAAACAATGACCAACAAGTGCTGAAAGTATAAGAGGTACTATAAGATGTATCAAAGGGACGGTGGACCTGGTTTTCAGCAGGTGTAGCTCGCCGCCCGATTGACAAGCCCTCAAACCTGGCGGTTATCGTACCACCACTGGGATAGAGGGATGGCACAAGGGCTTTCAAATAATAATAATAATAATAATAATAATAATAATAATAATAATAATAAAAAATGTATTGCTCGTTTGCATGCATTTCATCTTTTTTAGATATGCATTTCGTTATCTTTTCCTATGCATTTTCTTGCACGTTCAGTAGGTAGGTTTCATGCCTGAGCGGCACGGTGCGGTCAGTTTCCATGGCTTGAGGAGGATTGGTGGCCACCGCCAGTCAATCGCTGGCGCGCGTTGTGCCGCCCTGTAACCCGTATAGCAATGTGGCAGCACCGGGCCGAGTGCAAGTGTCCGCTCAGGTCCTGCTGCAGCCGGTCGGCACACACCGAATACACATCCAATAAAAAGAGCACTCAGGCTGCGTTCTCAAAAAAAAAAAAAAAAGAAGTTCTCAGTCAGTAGACTCAGTAACCCCATAGCTGACATTCATTGCTCAATTACGATGCCTATCTATCCAGAGGCTGGTTGAGACATGCATGTCAGCTATGGGGGTACTGAGTCTACTGAGTCTACTGGTTGAGACGCTTACAAGAGGCTTAAAAACTCTTAATGTACATGTCAGTGATGTCACAACATAAGCTCAATAAGCAAGACTTAGTTCAATACGTCATGATCATGACAGGGGCTGGTCACTGTGGATATATCTCAAGGCTGCCCCCCTTTTCCAAAAAAAAAAAAAAGAGTTACGTTCAACCGATCCCTCCATTGAATTTCCACACATACTGACACCTATAAATGAAGTTCTGAAGTTTGGAACCAAAACCAGCAATCTCCTCATCCCCTGCATTTCTCTCCTCCTCCTCCTCCTCCTCCTCAGGTGTCTTTCTCCTCCTCTACGCAAATCCGTATTCCTCTGGTTATACTCCGCAGATAATGAGGGAGGGTTACATTCAGGCAGGTCAGGGCGTAAAGGAAGATATATACCAATCCTAATCAGGGAAACATATCTACTACTCATGCATATGTACACTCATAGATCCACAAAATTCTTCTTCTTCTCCTCCTCCTCCTCCTTCCCCAACTGCTCATACTACTGCTGCTGCTACTACTACTACTATTACCACTACTACAACTCTCCTGCTCCGCCCCCCTCTAGGCAAACTTTACCTTCCTATACTTTTCTTAGACATTCAATAATTCGGATACATCAGCGTGAAAAGAAACAAGAAAAAAGAAAAAAAAAAGCATAAAAAGAAAGTCCATTGTTGCTGTTACCCTGCTTAGTTTTGATTCCGAACAACAGAATGCCCCGGGCCACTCTGGTAGCCTACCGTCTTCACCCGAATAGAACGCCCGGTCATTATAGCTGTATTTGGTGCAACTTTCAGTCTAGATACAGTGATAATGACCGGGTGTTCTATTTTGGGTGAAGACGGTAGTATCTGACAAACTTGAGCCATCCCTGGCCCGATGTTAAACCGCGAGTACCTTTCTCATATTATCTATCGGCCGCGGGTGCTACGCGCCAAGCACTGCGGATAGATATGGTCAGCCCCAGAGGCCAAATCGGGCCCCTCGTCCGTGTTAACCGCCGCGCCCTCGATCCCAACCGGGGAAAGGCAGTGGTGGTTTACCCTCCACMCCCCCCCCCCCTCCCCCAACTGGTATATAAGGGGGCTGCAGCTTGCCTTCAGTAACTTGAGGTACTTTATAAGTTTATAGCAAAAAGGTATTCACAGCCAAAAGCGGCCGCCGGCCAGTTCGTATAGGTAGACCACAAAATTAGAACTTGAAGTGAAGGGGGCACTGTCTGGCACTGGCGGTTGGAACTTGGAGGTTCTTGAGCGCGATGCGATCCCAGGGTGTGAGGGAGAGGGAGTTCTCTGACAAAATAAAAAGAAAACATTCAACTTTGAGAAATTTTGATTCCGTTTGACCGTTTGACCGTTTGACGACTTTGATTTGACTTTATTATTTTTTTTTTTCCTTGGGTGTGTTTCAGAATGCATTGCCACAAGCTGTTTTAACATTTGTCCTCGCCAATCAGTTCCACTTGCGTGCCGATGTTCTCAGCACAGGGTAATGTACACTCCCTCCGCAGCCTTTCTCGTCTTTGTTTGGTTGTTCACTTTGTTTTCAAAAAAAAATTCCCTTCTTCAAACATACTGAAGCCAAAAGAAAAAAGAGAAAAAGAAAAAAGAGAATTCCATGGCTGCGGTTTCACTAGCAGCAGTATAGGATCTGTTAAGACCTGTGCGCAACCGTGTGTGAAATGAGAGAAATATTTTGGAACTATTCAAAAAAATGATGGTGTGGACTTGAAGAGTTTAAAGCATTGAAAAGAGGGGGGGGGGGGG